CAAGAATGACATCAAAACCATCTAATTTAGCATCTGGCTATAGGCTGATGTAAAGCTGAAAGATACAGGAGAGACAAATGCAAAGCAGGTAGTGTTACGGTGTGCTGCCTTCCACAGACAGCTTCTGCTGGCTGGCTTTAGTGTCCCATGGGCAGTGATTGATGGCCCACTGATATCCTCCCCAATGTGGGTAGTGAAACCTCACCTCTCCCATAACTAAGAGAAGCAGCCGGTGCCAACTTTCAATATGCTGCCCTCTAGCTGTGGGAAAAAAAAGCCAATGTGTACACTTCTTCTCCAGTTTCATCACCTGGGGAGGGGAGCCCGTCGTGGCGTTTAGTGTATCACCAGCCACAAGCGTATCAACAGGAAATGATCCACTCATTAGACACAGAAACACAAAGTTTAACACACAATAGAAAATACAGGAAGTATATTCATCTTCTAACCACTGCGGCCTGCAGTCTACCCCAGGCAGCAGAGGGGTACATCCTACGCAGGGTGTCGCTCCATCACAGGGCTCACGCACTACAGGCCAGGGCTAGTCAAGTCACGGTCCTCAAGGGCTGAGCCCTGCTGATTTTCCAGCATTCCTTTACCTGTGAGCCAGGTGTGAAGCCTCTGACCAATCAGAATCAGTAATTATTAAACTAGAAAACAAGGCCTGGATTTGTAGGCAATTTATAGAGACCACTTAGCCTAACAGCAGCTCTGGGACTGTGGAAGAAAATTGAAGTTTCCAAAGAAACCCACAGAACACAAGTCACAGGACATGCCAGTACATACACAGAGTGGGAGCAGGATTCGAACCCGCAGCCTTGGACAAGTGAATTAATAGCGCCATCCACCCCCAAGGAAAGGGATCCCAGCCCAAGAATGAATTAGTAATAAATGCGTCACATAAGTAATCATATAAACACATATATAAACACATGGTGCTCCACCCTCCTGCTGACGTGGAAACAGACGCTGCAGGTCAGTGAGAGAAGTGAAGCCAGCCTCAGACAGAGCTGTGAGTGAAGCACTGCTCTGTCATTATAGTGCCCGGAGCGGCACTCAGACACAAGAGAATGTTCCAGAATTCTGATAGATAGAAACAAACACATGTCACTCAGTGAAAACAGTGAGTGTTTAGACCGGGATATTCTTTTTACTGAGTCTTGACAGCAAATGTTTTGACTGGGAAAGTCATGTCACTGAGTCACAACAACGAGTGTTTAGACTAGGATTTTCTTTTCACTGAGTCTCAATTGTAAATCTTTTGTCCGAGATAGTCATGTCACTCAATTAGCAAAATGTGTTTTGACAACGATTAGCATTTCACTCAGTCCTGACAGCGAACTTTTTGACTAGGATAGTCATGTCATTGAGTTACAACACTGAGTGTTTTAAACAGGAAAGTCTTTTCAGTACCTGTTACAGACATGACTCTGAATATTGATGTGTGAGATGTTTCTCCTTCAGTTACAAACACAGATACCCCAAATGCTTTTCAACAGCCTCTCCTGTCATGGCCAGTCGCATGCAACAGAGTGCACGTAGAGCACATATACTCACTAACACAGCGTTGACCTCGCCAAGACACGTCCACTTCTTTACTGCAAAGTAGTTATGCAGTCAAGACCACCTAAACCAAGACCAAGTCATTACCAAGACCAAAGTGTATTGAGACTGAGACAAGACCAAGACCAAGACCAAGGCAGGGCAAGACCAAGTCAAGTTCAGAAGCAGACTACTGTTTGAGTCTGCATAACACAACACACTATAAAATGTGGAGCACAGGCACCATCTTGGGGCAGTACGCCCTAAAATTTGCGTCACAGTATAATTTGAACCATTCTTAAAATTTCAATCTAAATGCTTCTGTACAAAAGTAAATTTTTTTCCAAATAAGACACACCTTATTGGTTGCATTTGAAGTAGGATGTTTTACACCCAATCACAGTACAATGTTAATCCTTTGAACCATATCAAAGGATTAACATAGTCACATGAGTTAGTCACATTTGCTGTATGGTTTTGTATTCAGGGTATTCTAGGCTACTCAGATATGGCATAATCTGATGTGTAAATGCTGACAACAGTCTTGTTATCCTTTTTATGAGGAAAATCTACTTGTGGTTATAGGAATTTCTCAACTTTTTATCTCATCTAATATAAAAAATTCCGGGCACTACAAATATGATCTTATGAATGTTTAGATTGGAGTCTCTATGATGTGGGAATGCAGGGGTTTCATTGGGGGCCTTTCTATGGCTTAGTATTGTGAAGGAATAGATGGTTAGTGCCAGGCAGAAATGAATATCTTTGATTTTGCATGCATTTGGTCACTTGTTGAAGTTATCTGATACACAGCAATGCATGGTTATATATAATTACGTCATAATATCTGAAAGAAATTTAAATAGAAGAGCATTGTTTCGTTTATGATCCATAAATATTAAGCTGCTGTGATAAAAAATGAGGCGTTTTGATGAGTGGTCTTGACTGGTCTTGAAATAAAACCTTGAGTCCTCTATGTCTGAGACCGAGACAAGACCGAGTCAAAATGAAGTTGATTCTGAGACAAGACCAAGACCGCAAAAAAAAAAAAAAGTATAATCGAGACCAAGACCGGTCTCGAGTACTACAACACTACTGCAAAGTGCAAATCATCTGGATTTATACTCCAAAATCCGATGCCAGTTTTCTCATTTCACAGTCCCATCAACTTTAAGAACTCTTAAGCATATATATTATTTATCAGCCAGCCTTCATCTATTAAAAACCAAAAAATCTTAATAATCTCCCTGGTTTCCATTTGGAAGTCATACAATTAAACTTCAGACATGCATCAACTTCCTTCTAATGAATCCTCTTATAGTATTTGCCACTTCCTCAGTTAATAAAAAGATAAAAATAAAACCCGAAGTGGAAGTTCAGGCCCAAAGACTCTTGGGCACCACGCACCCTGACACATTTTGCTAGTTTATTGAGATTGACAAAAATTCAAACTAAATAGATGCCAAAAAAATCTCTCAATAGTTTATGGTTACATGAAGATTGTTCCCATTCAGTTTCAGAATTATCTTGTTACAAAAATATTGCCAACAATTATATACAATTTTCTCAAATAGTATCTGAAACTAGCCTGCAGCAATATTTATATAAGTAAATGCTTAATGAGGAGTCTAATGTATTCATTCGAAGGATTTCTTTTCTTCATAAGTGTAAGTGCAGACCTCAAGGACTCATTGAATATTGATTTTTAAATTCTTGTTTGTGGGGGAAAAAAAGCATATGTTGCATGGTTTTCCTGCTTTTTATCGGACGGTTAACCACCTATTGTCATGCAGACTTGGCACCATGGATGCAGTAGGAAGTGCAGCTGCCTTGAGATTTCACATTATGGGCCAACTGAGAGGTCAGCAGGTGGAGTTAAATCAGCTCAGAGGTGAACTTGGAACTGCTTTTTAATTACATAAATTCTCAAGCAGGAGGCTGAAGAATCAGAACTGCAGCACTAAGCTCTATTTTGGTTCGGCTGTGTATGTTGGCCGGCTGAGATCACAGAGCCTCCTGGCAAGGGCCTGTCCATGCTGCCACTCACCCGCGGACTCGTCAGCCATGGCGATTTGCATACAAATCAAGCAAACTGTTATTCACGCAAAATAACAGATGCGATTTATACTGCCGTACAACAGAGAAAGGAGGACTGTCTCACCAGTGAACGTTTAGACATTTTCACTGTATAATTTGGAGGCTTGCAGTAACAACGACGACACTGGATTGTGGCGGAGACACACACTTCCTTGTTTTTCATTATACAAACACATACACACTCGGAGCCCTCTAGTTTTTAATCACGTCTGAAACTACGACATGCCATAATCACTTGAACTCTGGATATGTGCAGAAATGCTCTTTTAAAATAAGAACAGATTTTTTTGTTGACAGAACATCAAGAAAACTGCAATTTGAGTTATTTTTTCTATATAAATCTTAATTAAATAAATGCCAAAAGACATGAGCTTTTTGCAATTCAAAATTTTAAATGTAAGCTCCAGCAGTGAAAGGTCCTGCATACACATACACACACACACACACACACACACACACACACACACACACAAACATACACCAAGATGGAGAGTCGGTCTAAGTTGTATGGTGACACTTGGGCTGAACTTTATTTAGACAAGCAAGATCCCTTAACACACACACACAGACACACCAATACGATTGTGACATCACGAGTGCTTGAACTGGCCCATTCAGCATAGGAGGAAATGAAGAGGATGGCATTGATTGGCCAGGGTACTTACCCACTATCCCCACTCATATTCCAGTATTTCCACCCTTTTGTTTAAAGGACAGGCTGCCAACCGACTCTCTCACATGCATGAGAAACAGCATGCCGAGTGGGGGCTCAGAGGGGGCGTGCGGCTGTCACCTCGAAAGGGGAGTGTCTTTGGGGCTTGATGGGATTTGTGCCTCCACCTTTATGGAGGCAGTAAGGAATGTTAGCTCTCAATAGAGGTGGAAAGTTCAGGTCCAGAAACTACAAATTCAGACCAAGGTTTTGTTTCAACCAACCAGAGTCACAGTTACACAGTACTCAACTGGTTGGTTGAAACAAAACTTTGGTCAGGATTTGTACTCTCTGGACCTGAACTTTCCACCTGTAGTTCCCAACCAAGCTGAAAGCAGGGGCTTAGGAAATGGGGAGGGGGGCATATACCCCCCAATATTTAATTTGGATTCATTCATCTCCCCAGTAAATAGACTTTTGTATTTAAATTATTAAGTTGTGCTCCTCCTCCCATATCAATCTCTCACGCTGTTGGCTGAAACTAAATAATGCAGGTGACATCAGCTCATCTGGATATCGGTGTTTTCCTCATAGGATTCACAGGAGTGACTGAATAATCTAGTAAAATGAAAACAGCTGTGCAAGAAACAATAAAATAAGAGGAAAAAACTTTATTCTATTTTGGAAATACAAAAAACATATTGCCTTCTTTACTAAAAATACAAAAGTGGACACGTCAGCATTAATTTTAAGTTATACTTGCACTGTTCCTCCAGAACAGGACTCACATGTGTTCAGTGAGGAACGTGGGAAGGCAGCTGAAGCCGGGGATCTGGCTGCGGGTGGAGGGACTGAAGTCCTGCAGGAAGCCTGGCCTGGGATCCGGCTGTCGGTGGAGGGACTGAAGCCCTGCAGGAAGCCTGGCCTGGGATCCAGATGTCGGTGGAGGGACTGAAACCCTGCAGGAAGCCTGGCCTGGGATCCGGCTGCGGGTGGAGGGCCTGAAGCCCTGCAGGAAGCCTGGCCTGGCCTGGCACTCACCCACACCCAAAGCGTTAGGAGTCATACCTGGAGCTTCCCTGGGGAGGCATGTCTCTCGTGTCTGAAGTGTTGACAAAGGGGAGATTTTCCTGGGGTGTAGAAGAGGAAGAATATGAAGGGGGGCAGTGAAGTGGTTTGGGTGGGGCTTGTGCTCCACTGCCGGATGTGTCCGTGTGCACAGAGGTCATGGAGGTCATAGAGGTCACGGAGGTCATGGAGGACCGAGAAGCCGAGGAATGGAGCTGGGGCACCCTACCCCCGGAACCTATCAGATTGTCCCGTGACCCGAAGATGGGGGGTGTGGGACTCCGTGACTTGGTAACTCGGGGGCCCTCTGAGTAGCATGGACCCGGGTACAGGCTGTGCAAGCGGGGCATGTCATACACCCCAGGGTCTGGCTGAGGCTGGAAGTGGGATTGGACCTGCAGCTGTCTCTCATCCTCAGTCTCCCGTCGCTCCTGAATGGACGCCATGACGGTCTTGGGAAGGCTGTCGTAGCCCACCGGTGAGGGGTTCTTCGGATGGGGGGAGTGTCTGCCCACCAGGACTGGGCACGGCAACTCGGGCAGCCATGCTGAGAACTGGTTCGTGGGCTGGAATGGCAAGCGGCATCCCAGTGAGGGCGGCCCAGGGTGGGCTAGGCAGTCCATCATGGTGAGGGCGTTAGGGCTTGGGTGGAGTAGGCTGTCATAAGAGAGGCTCCCATTACGGCTGTACAGCATGCTGGGTGTCAAGGCGCTGCTGTGGGGGGCCGAGTCCTCGGGCTTGCCGGGTAGGGCCTGGAGCTGGTCCCGGTGCTGGTGCGACTCCCTCAGGCTGAGCGAGCGCGAGTGGAGGCTGCACGAGTCCAGCTGCAGCAGCGGAGACTGCAAGGCCCAGGGCGCAAGCTGGTTCCTGCAGTCCGGAAGGTCCAGGTCAGGCTCAGAGAAGTAGTCCTGGCCCCTGGGGACGCCATCCAGGCTGGCCGATGCTCTGTGACGGCCAGATATTGTGACCTGCATAGGACACAGATTAGGCACCTTACAACCCTTCACACCTGAACTGAAATTCTCAAATCATTAGGTTATGGGTTGGACAAAAGAACAACCAAGGAACCCTTATGAGCAGCCTGGCGTCTCCTAATGTCACACTCACCTGCTCTCCCGCTGCGCAATACTGCACCTCCGCCACAGACCCGAAGGGGACCTGGTACTTAAAGAAGGCTTGGGCAGATAGGCCTTCAAGAGAGGCAGAAGAAAAAGATTATACTACCAGCAAGGTCTTTCCGTGCCGCATGAGCAGATCTGGCAGGGAAACTGGGAATACGTGTCACAACAGGATAGATGCCTGGGAACAGGAAGTACACTTCCTGCAGTATTGCCTACGCAGTGAATTCTGTTCCACTGTCCTTGTACAAAACACCAACACCTTTTATCACACCTGCACCGGATGACTAATTTTTTTCCCCCTTACATCAGTCGCTCTGTTTCATTAAACACATCACAGCATGTTCTTAAATACTCTGATTGTCTGTTGGCTCATTCAAAGTATTACTAAATTCCTCCACCAGATGGCAGCAAAACTGCAATCAGAGGAATGATGACGGCCTGACCTGGGATTCAGAGACCTTATCACAGACACATGTGCACACAGGAAATAGGGCTTCTCATTCAAATGAAAACACTCAATAAAATAATTATTGCACCACTTCATATATATTACATAAAATAATTAATATTCAGACTACCATATGCATATTTCATATATATTTATGGAACATTCTCAAGAATTATTCTGGTGAAGAATAGATTATAAGACTGATTCTTGTAAGGAAATTCTCCTTTTGCCTATCCCATCTCGCTCTTCTTGGTTCACACATAGGTAAGATCAAGCTTGGGGGTGGGGGGGGGGGAGAGCTGGCGGTCAAAACCCTTGTCCAGTGGCCCAGTGGTGACATCAATCTGCAGGCCCTGGGTCTCACACTGGTGACCGTATCATAAACACAGAGTCTTAAACCACCGAGCCACACACTGCCCCCAAATTTACGATGTGGAAGCTCGTTAGCGGTTTGTATTTATATATGAAGTCATGGCACATGCCTAAATATTCTTGCGTTTTGCCCAGTCTCATGCTTGCTGTTGGAATCTGCTGGCATGCAGGGGCCCCACCTTCGCCGTCAGCCAGTCTGGGTTTCGGCTCGCAGTCCTCGCCAGGGTCCGGCCTGGGAGCAAGTGTGATCACATCCAGACTTCCTTTAGACTGACCAGAACAGGAGGAGGACACACAGACAGGTGTTAATGGAGTTTTAAACTGGCATCAGGGTTAGCGGTCCTTCACACTGGCCATGTGCCCCATACAAAATTAAGTGTTTCCAAGAGAGCTCCCACGAACCCCTGATGCAAAACCAGTACTATAGAAGCTCAGGTGCAGAAGGATAAAAGAGGAACGTTTATGGTTCGAGCTCACCTTGGTCCAGAAGATGTTACTCTTCCCATTGTCTCTGAACATGAAGGTCATCTGTCCATCTGAAAGCTCAGGCTGAAGAAAGGGCGGTTGGATAGAGACGGAGGGCTGCTTCCTGGGGGGCACCATGTATCTGCCAATCAGCACAAGAAATGGAAAGAATCATGTCCATCAGACCTACCACGTACCTGAGCACCATTAGTAGGTAGTTAGAGTAGGAGGATAAGTGCTAAAGGCAGAACCCTTCTACACATCATTATGGTCAGTTCCTGTGTTACCTGGGAGCGAGGGGACTGCACAGGACGTACTCGGTGTTGCCCCAGCAACCACGTGAGAAGGGGTTGACCCCTCCTTTGAACTTGCCGGTTACCTGTAGAAACCAGATTTATTTTGTTTACACTGCAGGTTTGGAGGTATAGGATGAAATGCAGCAAAGGCAGGTTTGGAGGTACAGGATGAAATGCAGCAAAGGCAGGTTTGGAGGTACAGGATGAAATGCAGCAAAGGCAGGTTTGGAGGTACAGGATGAAATGCAGCAAAGGGGCACTACTGACCACCTCAAGAATAATGCAAATAATGCAAAGCGATTCAGTTCTAGCCCAACACTTTATACCTCTCTGGCCTCTAAACCAATCAGTTTTTCCCAACCCAGCCCTTGGGGACCCCCAGCCAGTTCACCTTTTTGCTCCCTCCCAGCTCCTCTGACCGAGTCCACATTTCTACTGAACTGTCTCACGCAGGGGTGGGGAACCTGATCCATGGAGAGCTGGTGTGTATGCAGGTTTTTGGGATGACCTCTCAATTAGACAATAGCAGTCATTCTCCAGTCCTGGGTTTGATTCCGCTCCCCTGGTTTAAGGTGTTCCCGAGGATGGGGTTGGAAAACATCGCACTAGGCCATGATTTTCCTTCACAGGACCTAAGCTGGCTTTCTCTTACCTGTTCATTTGTTGTGCGCCCCCTGACCACCAGCACCATGTGGAAGCCAGTGAGGCCACCCACTGGGATAAAGAACAGGCCTGACACGCACATGACCGCCAAGCTGGTCAAGGAAGTCAAGGTGTTTCCATCCATTTTTTGCCACAGCACCACAGTGAAGCTCACACTTTCATTGAATTACCTCATGTACATGATTCACTGTCACTAAATGTACACTAAGAGATATTTATTTAATACTTCTAAACAGATTTGGCTTTACGACTGTCAAGCGAGCGTTTACTAGTGAACAAAAATACTCCAGCAGCGCTTAGTACTGATACCACTAACATCCCAAGGCAAGTGTTCTCTTGAAAGCATGCAGGACCGCAGAACAGTCATGAGCGTGATTAATGAATCACGAACAGCATGAGTAACGATGACCCGCAGACACATTTATATTCCACTGTACAGCTGAAGGAACCCAAAAGCGGCTGCCGGGTGAAGGATAGAAGGGATGTAAAGATACGTGACAGTGGTCTGCAGGGCTTCCAGACGTTCCAGGTGGTGCATTACAAAGAGGAGGCCAAAGGAGAAGACGCCCACCATGTGGATGCTGAGAGACAGCAGGAACAGGAAGAAGTAGCGGTAGTTACGTCTGCCAATGCAGTTGTTCACCCAGGGGCAGTGATGGTCGAAGTCCTAGGGGGCAAGAGCTGAAATTATAGATGCGATCTGGGGGGGGTGATAGCCGAATGGGTTCAGCCTGCCCCCGGCCCTCACCTCCACGCAGTGGTCACACACGCTGCAGTGGGAGCAGCGCGGAGGTCTGTAGAAGTGGCAGGAGGCGCACCACTTCATGCGCACCTGGATGCCCTTCACCTCCACGTTCTTGTAGAGTGGCGCCCGGAAGTCGTCCTCCTTGTCCTCCTCCTCCTCGGTCGCTATGGGGGAGACATGAGGAACCTTGCAGGCGTGAGCCCCCGGCTTGGAAAAACACAGCCCAGAACAAATCCTTCCCACTAATCCAGAGCAGGATCTTATGCCAATTAAAATGCTGAAATAGTGGTTCATTCACTGAATTTGGATCAGATGGTGCAAGTACATAATAAAACTCTACACAGACCTACTCACTTTTATCTCAATGCCACACATTAAAGTAAATGAGTATTCACTTTGTAATTATACGAAACCCTTTAAAACAGAGGTGATGTTTTTTTAATATTGGCTAAAAGTCAGCACCAGCACCATTTGTTGGTTCTTGTGATTGTGATGGACATTAGGAAATACTCTAGCTCATCGATTGTGTTAATGGAAATAAGATAAAGTACCACAAGATGTTTATTTTATTTTTTTTTTGGGGGGGGGATACTGCCAACCCTTTAGTACTCTTCTTCACCACACTGTCCTCGGAGGTACAAGATGAAATGCAGCAAAGACAGGTTTGGAGGTACAGGATGAAATGCAGCAAAGGCAGGTTTGGAGGTGCAGGATGAAATGCAGCAAAGGCAGGTTTGGAGGTACAGGATGAAATGCAGCAAAGGCAGGTTTGGAGGTACAGGATGAAATGCAGCAAAGGCAGGTTTGGAGGTACAGGATGAAATGCAGCAAAGGCAGGTTTGGAAGTACAGGATGAAATGCAGCAAAGGCAGGTTTGGACATTTCATACCTCTCTGGCCTCTAAACCAATCAGCCTCTAAACCTACCTGTGGTAGGTGTCTTCAGCCACAACACTACAAAGAGCTGTTCATTTGCCCAGTTAAGTACTTCGGTCACATAAAACCTGGGAAAGGTTAAACCACTCACACAGGAGAGAAGGTGGGATTACCGACCTCGGGGGAAAACGCCAGAGTCCATGAAGGTGGCCATGCCGAAGTTGGCCAACACAAAGACGAAGACGATGCCATTGTAAAGCGGGACGATGGGGGAGATTGTGCGGGTCAGCCAAGGGCACCTGCATCAGGAGAGACTTCAGTAAGGTTCTACCATCACAGCCAGGAGCTCAGTCAGGACACATGATGGTCGAGAGCTGACTGTGACTGACAAAGGTGGTCAGTGCTACGTGGCTTAATGAAAAAGGCAGGGACGCCTCCGTAAGCACTTCCTGCTGCGTCAGGCAGAGCCTGAACATTTAACATCACGAGGGATCGCAGACGGACTTTGAATCTGCCTGTGACAGGTAGAAATTCAGCCCAGCTGATGGGCCAAGTCTGACAGACAGCAATTAGACCATGTGTGTGAGGCTCAGTATTCGTACTGCGATAGATAGAGAGCAACTGAAAGAGTAGGCACTGTTCCCAGGTCAGTGAAAGTACACATTCATAACAAACACATTTATGCAACGATCCTTTGATATCGAGCGAGCTGTGCTGACACAGTGCCGACTTTGGCGATTCTGTTCCTGCAAAATGAACGCATCACATCGTCCCACAGGACGCCACTCCGGTGAAACCATCTACAGCAATGAAGCTGGCAACCGTGCATCTCTCTAAATGCCAAAAATAGCCAGCCTCCACTCTCTCTTCTCCCTTTCGTGACTTCAGTTTTTCTGGGACACAAAGAGTGTTTGCTTTGCATTAATTCAGCGTGACTTTTTAAAAGCGCACCGTAAAGACTGAAGCATTACTGAAGTACCACAGCAGTCACAGATATTTATTTATTTCTTTTTATAGCCTGTGTTTGGTGTGAAGATAGACCAGGATCTATAGAATAAACGTGAGGCTAAGAATAGGCAGGGTGTTTGAATGTTAAGTAAACTTCTCAGATGCTGCCAGTCGTGTTGGTCTGGGGAAAGTAGCAGTGCAGACTGAATTCTAGAATCTGTGTCCTTAGGTGGATATTTCATGTCCAGAGAGAACAAATCCAGGCCAAGATTTTGTTTCAACCAACCAGTTGAGTACTCTGTGACTGTGACTCTTTATACTCAACTGGTTGATTGAAACAAAATCTTGGTCTGGATTTGTACTCTCTGGACCTGAAATCTCCACCTCTGTCTGTATCAAGTTATATTGATCAGGGAGCTCCTCATCTCAGACAAAGGGCTTCAATCAAATTCACACATATAGAACTGAAACCAGTTTTAACCTCAGATGGTCCTTCACCTAATATCAGCCATATGGCCACTATGCTCAGTTCCCTCACTGATCTTCAGTCTGTCAAACCAGGAGTTCTAATGGTTCTCGACAAATGTGGGCTCCAACACATTTTCCTTGGCTTCCACTTGCCTTTCAATTCTCCAGCAGCCTTTGGCAAAGTCTACCACCAGATGTTGCTCACTGTTTTTTCATCTTGTCTGGAGAGGCTGAGCGATTCTGATGAGTAACCCACAAAGCCTGTCAAATCCTTTCAGATGACTGCTCATAGCGGTAAAAACGCCCTGTTTACAACCTGGTGCGTCCCGGCGAGCAGTGGCATCGTGAGCTGCAGGGTGCTGAGCTGAATGGTCTACACATCATACTCTTTATAGACACAGTTAAAGGGCAGTGCAGTGCATTAAAGACTGATGTTGGGCTCCAGGCTCACAGTATTCAGAATGCTATAAAAATGGAAGTACAATTATCTCAAGGAAGGAGACTTTTTCGAACTTTGTTCAATGGCTGTAACTTCCACCTCTAGACTGTGGTAGTTTGGTGGGATTCAGAAAACAAATCAAGCAATACTGACATAAACTGCTGTTCTAATGGTTTGAAATGCCCACAGCATCACAGGAGTCAAGCCAATGAATGTAGAATGTAAGAAAGTAAAAGATTAGTCATCTTTAAATGTTCTTTTCTTTGGTCACAGAGGGAGCACCTCTGACACAACTGAAGCAGTGATTTTCCTGCTATGAAGCGAGGAGGTGCCAGACATCACGAGTCACACAGAAATGAACTCGACGCCACCCGACACTGAGCGCAAGGCAGCTGTGAGTCTCACAGGACATTTGTGCAGTGTTTGTCACAGACCCAAGCCAATGGTGTTTGGAGGCCGATCCCAGATGACAGTGGACTGGCCGCCGGCGTGGGCAAACTGCAGTCGTGGACAAGATTTTCATAATTCATCATTCAGTTACCTGACACCCTAAAAAGTCATCTTTATTGCTTCACACGAGATGTCTGTCACCCTCCAGGAAGTACGACCGTTCTGCCTGTCACACAAAAATAATCCATAAGGTGTCTCTTCTTGATGATGTCACAAAGCCACAGTTTTAGGCTGATTCACATGAAGCACACCGTGTCTTATCAGCCTCAAGATGGCTTCCTTTTCCTGAGCTAACCTCTAATTTTGTGTTTTTCTTGATATACAGGGACCCTGCTGAAAACAAATGTCTCGTGTAATGGTTTCCTAAACATCCTATTGATCCAGGTTTTGAATGGTACAATCATAATAAAACAATGGATTCTTTCCCTTCTAAGGTTTCACTTTGCCTGACAAGAAAGGGTTTACAAGCCATTTATTCCATTTCTTAAATCGCAAGTCTATTTCTATGAATGCTAGATAACCGGTCACAAATATGTCGACCACAATCTACTAGTAGCCTGCAAACACTTATTATAAATCAGATTAATTTTACTGTCGTCACCCCCCCTCAATTCCCCGGTCTACAACTTGTATATGGTTACCCCCCCCCCCCCCCCCCCCCCCCGCTTGATATTATCCCGTATCAAACACATAGATCCCCAGGGATACCAGATAATTTTCTTTGTAGAAGTAGCGCTCACCATAAATAAGGTTACAGACCCCTGTGCTATACGACAGACACCCCGCATGACCTGCAGGGGCGTGACCACCACAGCGGGTCAGTGCTTCAAACCCAGAATCCAGGACCAGGTCAGAGGCCGATAAAAACATTGCAGTCAGGCATCCTACATATCTATAGCATGAGAATTTAACACGACTGACTCAAAATTCTTGAGTTTCTTTCATTTCTCAAGCTGCCTATTCCCATTACTATATTTTGTCAAGGCTGAGTACCTGTCATTAGAAATGTCAGAAAATTTATGCTTTTATGTACAAATATTTGTCCAGGTCCTCACTCAAATTTTCAAGACCCAATTAAATTCTCTCCAGCTCAATGGCTCTACTGAGATTCATAAAGCTGTGGGCAAGTCCAAGGCAAGTCTAGGTTTAACTGTTTCTGTACCAGTTTGGTCATTAATTTAGACAAAGATCTGTCATACTTTCGCTATCCACTTCTGTCTTCTGTAGCAACCATCTATAAGAATAATTCATCTGAACCTCTCACATGTGTAACCTATTCGCAGCCTTTTCCAAGCTCAGTCTTCCATCCATATTCCATAAGTTACCCAACATATAGTCACAGAGAGCCTGGAAGCTGTCCCAGGAAGCCTGGGGCACGGAGGGGGCGGGGGGGATGGGGGCAGCAGTCCACCTCCCTAGACCTCTCGATACATCTCGAGTGGGTGGAGTACCAGAATGAACCTGAAAACAGAACATGGATGTTGTTTCCATCACGTTGCAGACTAATGGCTGCTCGTCCTGTTTGGTGGTGCCTACCCATGATGGCCTGGTGCTTTGTGCTTTTACACAGGCAGGACTGCAGCTGGCCTGAGATCTGAGTATGCAGACACAGGAGGATTCCCTTATTAAACTAAATAATTCACAAGCCTAGAATGGCTGACTGCAATCCGGTCGGACCCTATGGGTTGAGAGTTCTATAATAGCGTTTCCCAATCCGGTCCTTGTGGGATCCACAGGCAGTCCAGTAGGGAGCTAGGAGGGAGCAAAAATGTGGACTGTCTGGCAGGGAGGTCAGAGGGAGCAAAAATGTGGACTGGACTGACTCCAGTGGTTTAGTGTAAATACAAGTACATCTCTTGCAAATACTCAGTCTGACCTTTTCCTCAAGGTTATCATCCTCTTCCACCGAACAGCAGTGGGGGTGGGACAGGCGGGGGATTTTACGAGCCCAAGAAGGCAGGTTCGGTCTTAATCTGGGCTACAAGACAAAGCCTGTTCATATGGTAAATTCCAAGAGGTTATTTATGAAAATCCAGGTTAGAGGAGTTGAACACCAAGTGGAGGTTGTACAACCCAATTCTGTGCTGGAGGGATTAGCCCATAGAAAAGCCCCCCCCTCCCCCTCCCCCCATAGCCATCTGGAGCACATAGAGAGTTGATTACTTTGCAAAATGCCTGGTCACCACAGGCCCTAATGAAACAGTGCAGTGCTATTAAATTGTCTGGCCCTGTGAGCGACTGCTTTCTAATTTGAAAGTATCCCCCCTCCCCCTGCCATAAAGAGATGCTGATTCCATCAGAAACAAGCTACTGTAAACAAAAAGAAAGTACTTACACATCCAACTGCAGCTTATCAGACTAAACATGGAATCAAACAAAACTCTAAAAAGTACAGTCATAAAAAGATGATATTCTTTAGGGATACATCAGGAACAAAGCATCCTTTCAGTAAAAAGAAGCAGAAGCAGAACATGCAGGGACTGGGAGGAGATGAGGACCTGGCCTGGGAGTCCCCCTCGCGTCCACATCACCTGTCCTGGCCTGGGAGTCCCCCTCGCTTCCACATCACCTGTCCTGGCCTGGGAGTCCCCCTCGCGTCCGCATCACCTGTCCTGTCCTGGGAGTTCCCCTCGCGTCCGCATCACCTTTCCTGGCCTGGGAGTCCCCCTCGCGTCCGCATCACCTTTCCTGGCCTGGGAGTCCCCCTCGCGTCCGCATCACCTGTCCTGTCCTGGGAGTTCCCCTCGCGTCCGCATCACCTTTCCTGGCCCAGAAAAACAAGGGGGTCCCTTCGCTTATCCTGGGCAGCATCTCACCTTCTACAAATGTGGCACAAAGAAAAGGAGAACAGACTGACAGCTGGTGATACCCATCCACCCACTTTCTGTACCCGCTTGTCCTATTCAGAGTCATGGGGGGATCGAGAGCCTATGGGCACAAAGCAGGGAACAACCCAGGATGGGGCATCAACCCCTTATAGGGCACACTCACACA